TGTCCTTAGCCAAATGCCTGACAGAACATCTCTGTCTTGCATGCCCTGCAGAACTGCATTAAGTCCTGCGGGGCATGGATGTTGTTCGGCAGAGTTCCACCAGGTTGGGGCCAGGGCCGAAAACGTCCTGGCCCTGGTCGAGGACAGCCAGATGGTTTTAAATGTCTTTATGATTGTATCTCTTTGAATGCTGTACACCACGCTGAGCCCCAAGTATAGGGGAGGGTGGTTTAGAAATCAAAGGTATAAACACGTAAACCACTGGAGAATGCCTCTTGCCTTGAAAACCGATGGCAGGTTGCCGCGGGTCAGCTGTGACTTGATGGTGCGCACATATACACAATCTTAATTATTTTTGTGTCTGTGTGTGTACTTTAGTTCTGATTTTAATTGTTTTAAAAGATGTGTCGTTCTTTTTGGCTGGTTTTTATTTTTAATGCCAACTTTATTATGTACGTTTTAATTCGTTAGCCACTTCAGTGGCGCTTGTGAGACAGAAAGGCGGGCTGCACATTTTAAAAAATAAATAAAAGCACCATAGTTCAAAAGAATCTATTCTTCGGCTCTCGGCCTTCCTTATGGTCCAACTCTCGCAGCCATACTGTGAATACCATTGCTCTGACTATATGGAGATTTGTTGACAGGGTGATGTCTCTACTTTTTATTATGCTGTCTAGGTTTGCCATCGCTTTCCTCCCAAGGAGCAGACGTCTTTTAATTTCACAGCTGCAGGCACCGCCTGCAATGATCTTGGATCCCAGGAACATGAAGTCTGTCACTGCTTCCATGACTTTCCCTTCTATTTGCCAAGGAGTAATGGGGCCGGATTCCCTGATCTTAGTTTTTTTTATGTTGAGCTTCAAGCCCACTTTTGCGCTCTCCTCTTTCAGTCTTAGCAAGAGGCTCTTTAGGTCCTCTTCACTTTCTGCCATTAGAGTGGTATTGTCTCGTATGGTCTGCATATCTGAGGTTGTTGATGTTTTTCCTGGCAATCTTAATTCTGGCTTGTGATTCATCCAGGCTGGCATTTTGCATAATGTGCTCTACATATAAATTAAATAAGCAGGGTGACAATATACTTAGTTGTTCCATGTCCGGCTCTAACTGTTGCTTCTTGATCCTTATACAGGTTTCTCAGGAGACATGTGAGGTGGTCTGGTACTCCCATCTCTAAGAACCTGCCACAGTTTGTTGTGATCCACACAATCAAAGTCTTTAGCGTAATCAATGAAGCAGAAGTAGATGTTTTTTCTGGTACTCCCTTGCTTTCTCCATAATCTAGCGAATGTTGGCAATTTGATCTCTAGTTCCTCTAACCCTTCAGAACCCAACTTGTACTTCTGGTAGTTCTCTATCCATGTACTGCTGAAGCCTAGCTTGTAGGATCTCGAGCATGACCTTGCTAGTGTGTGAAATGAATGCAATCGTGTGATAGCTTGAACATGTTTTCCAAATTTGCTGGCAAATTGAGTGCAGCACTTTAACAGCATCATCTTTTAAGACTTTGAATAGCTCAGCTGGAATACCATCACCTCCACTAGCTTTGTTGTTAGTAATGCTTTCTAAGGCCCATTTTACTTCACATTCCAGGATGTCTGGCTCAAGGTCAGCAGTCATACCATTGTGGTTGTCAAGGACATTGAGATCCTTCTTGTATAGTTCTCTGTATTCTTGCCACCTCTTCCTAATCTCCTCTGCTTCTGTTAGGTCCCTACCATTTTTGTCCTTTGTCATGGCCAGCTTTGCACGAGATGTTCCCTTGATTTCTCCAATTTTCTTGAGGAGATCTCTAGTCTTTCCCATTCTATTGTTTTCCTCTGTTACTTTGCTTTGTTCATTCAGGAACCTTGCTGTTCTCTCGAAATCTGCATTCAGTTGGGTAATTCTTTCCTTTTCATCCTTGCCTTTTGCTTTCCTTCTTTCCTCAGCTATTTGGGAAGCCTCATCAGACAGCCACTTCGCTTTCTTGCATTTCTTTTTCTTTGGGATGGTGCTGATTGCTACCTCCTGTACAATGTCACAAGCCTCCATCCATAGTTCATCAGGCACTCTGTCTATCAAATCTAGTCCCTTAAGCCCGTTCTTCACCTCCACTGTATATTCATCAGGGATGTGATCTAGGTCAAACCTGGTTTTCCCAACTTTCTTCAGTTTAAGCCTGAATTTTGCAATGAGTAGCTCATGATCTGAGCCACAGTCAGCTCCAGGTCTTGTTTTTACTGACTGGATAGAGCTTCTCCATCTTTGACTGCAAATGACATAATCTGTTTTTGGTGATGTCCATGTGTAAAGTCGCCTCTTAGGTTGTTGGAACAGTTAGCCAACCTCATATAAAGCTAACAGGAAGTTTTAAAAATTGAAAACCAACCAATGCAAAATTTAATTGTGCCATTTAAAGAAAAATCTGAAACAAAAACAAGAAGGGGGGGAAATCAGAGAGAACTTTTTTGAGTCTGACACCTGCGCTTTATTTCATATCCCAGACTTTGTTCTGTTCCTATATTCCAGATTCGAGGAAGATGAGAAACAACAGCAATTGTTTTGAATTGTCATCTGTTCTGCGCACTTAAAAAAAAAAAGGTTGTAAAAACGTGGAGACCTTTAAATGTAAAGATGGCCCAGGATTAGCAAGAGGGGGTCTTGCTGCGTCAAAGCAAGTAAAAACTTCGAGCTCCTATTAGTGTAAAACATTATTATCCCACCTGATCTCTGAAACTTTGGGCAGGGGGATAAAGCAGGCAAAATAACAAGTCATTCAAAACAAATCATTGCTCTTTGGAAGCTCCTTGAACGATCACAAGGTCCAGGTCGGCTTTTACAGGATCTGTTTCCTTTTGAGTGACCTTACACAGGAAACTTGCAAATGTCTTTTGGTACCAGCCTCAGCCTTGCATGTAAAAAGTCAGCAGCTAAAGCCTCTTACCCAGTCAGTGTCTATGCCAAGAAAATCTTTACCTGCTAAGTCTGTGTGTGCATGCGTGCATGTTGGAGCAAAAGTTGTGGAACTAGGACATTGTTGGTGAACCTATGGCGGGGTGCCAGAGGCGGCACTCAGGGCCCTCTCAGTGGGCACGCGTGCCATCACCCCAACCAGGCCCAGACTGTCATTAAAGTGTGGAATTCTCTGCCAAATAATTTTTTAAGTCAATTAAAGCATTTGGGATTGCTTTCCTTACTTTGTCTGGATCATCTTATGTTAATGTATGAGTTGTTTTTTCTAAACTAAAACCTCAGTAGTCAGGTTAAATTGCCGTGTTGGCACTTTGCAATAAATAAGTGGGTTTGGGGGCACAGTTTGGGCACTCGTTCTCTAAAAGGTTCACCATCACTGAACTAGGACATGACTGCCAATTTAATTTGTGTGCATTTAGGCAGATCCTGAGAGGGAGGGCAGGAAGGGTTGCCTCAGTGCTTGGTTCTTGTGGCCCTTTCTTACACACGTCACCCAGGGAAATGCTGACTTTGGGGTCAGGAAGCATTTTTACTCCAGATCAGTTTGGCTAGAGATCCTGGAGGTTTTTTTGTCGTCTTCTGGGTGTGGAACAGCGGTCACTGCAGGTGTGGAGGGGAAGGTATTTGTGAATTTCCTACATTGTGCAGGGGGTTGGACTAGATGACCCCGGAGGTCCCTTCCAACTCTATGATTCGTTTGATTGGCTCTCAGGATCAAAGACCTCTTTTTGAGTGTCAAGGCGCCATCCATGAAAGATGAGCAACAATAGTAGAGATGTGTATTTCAGTCTCAAAGAGGGCTGGTGTGGTGTGATGGATAGAGTGCAGAAACAGGATGTGGGACGACTGGGTTTCAATCCCCTGCTCAGCCACGGAAGCCTGCCGGGTGACCTGGGGCCAGTCACAGTCTCTCAGCCTAGCCTACCCTCACAGGGTTGTCATTGTGGAGATTAAGTGGAAGAAGGGGGAACAATGTGAAAAGCCTCTTTGAGTCCCGAATCAAGGAGAAAAATGAGATATAAATAAAAAATAAGCATAAATAAGCTCAGCCATTGCTCAAGGTTATACAGCACACACTTAAAACTTACCAAAAGCTGGTCAGTTAAAAAAAAAAAAGGTTGTCCACTCTATATAAAATCAAAGAGGCCAAAGACATCCTTTAAAATTCGTTGTAGAAAGGCAAACCCAAGAGAGCTGTACAAATCCATGATGGAAGGAAGAATGGAATAGCTAAAAGGGGCTGGTAGAAATGAGTTTGGTTTTTAAAGCCAACCACGGGCCAATTTGAAAATAGAACTCATTTCAGATCGCACCTTTTGGGCCTCTTTTCTTTTGGCAATTTCAAAATGCATCCCTAGCTAACTGCAGAGTTAGGCTATGAGAGGCCTTGCTGGGCAAAAATGTTTCTGTGCGGCCACCACCAGAGCCCCTGCTCAGTCCCCTGACCGGTCTGAGATGGAGGGGTTCTTACAGCTAGGCCTTTCCAACACATCTTGACCGGTGGAGAGTTCATGGCTTTCGGCACCTTGCTATCAATGGTTCCCAGGGTGCGATGATACCAGTTGGATGACTTATGCATGGGAAAGAGCAGGTAGGGAACGAGGTACTTTTCTCCCTCTCTCACAATTCTCCCTTTCTCACAATACAAGAACTCGTGGGCACTCCATGAAACTGCTGAGCGGTCGGGTTAGAACGGATAAGAGGAAGTATGTCTTCACCCAAAGAGTGATTAACACTTGGAATTCACTGCCACAGGAAGTGGTGGCGGCTACAAGCATGGACGGCTTCAAAAGGGAATTAGAGAAGCATGTGGAGCAGAGGTCCATCCGTGGCTATTAGCCACAAGGTATAGATAGGGGCTCTGGGGCAAGGGATGCTCTGTCATCTTGGTGCTTTGGGGGGGTCAACAGTGGGAGGGCTTCTAATGTCCTGGCCCGACTGGTATTTCTGGCCACTGTGTGATACAGAGTGTTGGACTGGATGGGCCTTTGGCCTGATCCAACATTGGCATCTCTTATGTTCTTATGTTCTCTCTTTTGGTTGAACAGCCGCACACGGAACCAGCCCCGGATCCCGTCTACGTGAACCTCCAGGAGCTCCAGAAGGAACTGAGCGCAGCTGCAGTTTCCAGGGCGGACTGCAGCCTTCAGCCACGCCTCGGCAGTCCGCCGCCGAACTGGGAGACTCACACAGACACGGAAAGCGGTCAAGTGTTCTACTACAACCCGGCGACCGGGCAGACGACATGGGATTATCCGCTTGATGGCTGTGTGGATGGTGCGAGTCCCACCGACTCTTGCTCCTCTTCCCTGACTTTCAGCCCTGCTCCACCGACAGAGTGGGACCAATATGTAGACCAAGTGAGTGGGCAAGTGTTCTTCTACAACACGGCGACAGGAGAGACGTCGTGGGATGCGCCCCGAGCGGGAGACCCCCTCAGCTATCCAGAGATGCAGCCTGCCATTGCTCCCTTCAGCTCGGTGGATCGGAGGGTAAATCTGGCGGGGGGGGGGTGTCTGGCTGGGAATGAATCGTGGCTATTGGGCAGGGCTCTTTTTGTAGAAAAAGCCCAGCAGGAACACATTAGCATAATAGGCCACACCCAACAGCAAGAACTCATTAGCATATTAGGCCACACCCTGACAGCACCGCTCATTACCCCCATGTTACCAGAAGTGTGGTCATCCAGCCACACCCACCTTTCCCTTCTTATTCTGTTTACCTTGTTTGTTGTCAAAACCCAGGGCTTTTTTAACTCTCTTGCATGTTAGGCCACACACCCCTAATGTAGCCAATCCTAAGGAGTTTCTGCTATTGGGTGTGGCCTATTATGCTAATGAGTTCCTGCTGGGCGTGGCCAACTCGGGAGCCAGCCGGAACTCCGTTCCTGTGCGTTCCTGCCCAAAAATAGCCCTGGCTATTGGGCAGGGGTGGTGAGTGATGATGCATGGGTTTCCAGGGACTAGGAAAGACTGCAGCAAATGTGAAGTCTAATTTTGCATATTCAGAATTGGTAAGGACTTTCCTCCAGGAATATGAGGGCAGGCAGGGCTATTTTTGGGCTGGAACGGAGTTCCGGCTGGCTTCAGAGTTGGCCATGCCCACTACAGCGAAAACCTCTGCATGCGTGGCTACAGAGTGAAGGGGTGCCCAGGCAAGCCAAGGGAAGGCAGTTTAAACTGCCTCCCCTCCCCTCCAAGGGCCAGCTTGCCCGGGTTCTCCACAGCCGCAGGGTGCCTAGGCAAGCCAAGGGAAGGCATGGAGGTGTGGCCTAATATGCTAATGAGCCACACTGTCAGGAGTGTGGCCTAATATGCTAATGAGTTTCTACTGTTGAGTGTGGCCTCTTATGCTAATGAGTTCCTGCTGGGTTTTTTCTACAAAAAAAGCCCTGAGGACAGGGTTGCCAAAGTTGTGTTGGGAAATGTTGGGAGCAGGCCCATAGCCATGGTGGGGCTTTAGGGAACTCCACCCCCTTTCTTAAAGGCACAGCCCTACAAGAATTTCTCCCATAAATGCTTTTTAAAATAATTTAAAAATTTTTTAAAGACGAGCACTCCTTTAAGCAGAGTGGGGTGCTGTAGTTGACTAATCCCTGCACTGAGAAAGTGGGTTGGAGTAGGTGCCCTCTAGGATCCCTTCTAATACTGTGCCAAGAAACTGGTCTCCTTTAGGAGAGGTGTTCTGCCTAAGTCTTAGCTTTCTTGGATGGCAGAAGTGAAGAACTTGCAGCAGCTGAGAACTGTCGTCCAAAGCGGCTGACAGCTTGCAGTGTAGAGCTCTGTCCTGGTCACCGCTTCCTATTGGCTAAAGGGTCAATAGGCTAAGGGTGATTGCTGGCATAGGAACACCTGTGTAGAACAGACAGCTTGTGAGAAGACTCAGAGAGAGAGAGAAGAGTCGCTGAGTCACCCTCCTCAGCCTTCTGGCGCTTCTTTCTGCACTGAGGACTTCAGCCCCACCAGAAGAACATTTGCCCCACAAGCCACAAGATCCTGGCTACGGGCCTGTTTGGGAGTGCAGCCTCGGGAGGTCGTGACCTCGGGAGGGGAGGAGCCTCAGTGGATGCGCATCAGAGGCCACCCACCCTCCAAGCAGCCATTCTTCTGCAGAGGAATTGTCCTCTATGGCCTGGAGATCAGTTGTCATCCGGCAGCCCTAAGTGAGGCATGGGTGTCTTCCCCTATATAGGGCGCAGTTTTGCCTATCTGCGAATGCCCTTCATGGCACCAGTAACACCTAGAAGCAGGGGTCGTTTGGTAGAAAAAGAGGTGCAGGAGCTCATTAACATAACTCATTAGCATATGCCACGCCCCCGACATCACCGGAAGTGTGTCAGAAGCAATGCTCCCTCTAAGCTGTGGAGTCTTGTGAGCAAAAATTCCACTTTGTGAGCTACTAGCATTAAAGTTGTGAGCGAGCCATTTGGCTCCTGCATAAGTTAGTTTGCTCTGGAGCCCTCCTTCCTGAGCTAAGACAAAAATGTGCAAGCCAGAGGCTAAAAAACTGTGAGCTGGCTCACACTAACTCAGCTTAGAGGGAACACTGGTCAGAAGGCAACACCCACCGCTCAGGCTCCACTGGACTGCTTTGGATTGCTAGCTATTGGCGGGGGGGACGGGACGCACAGAATTGCCCTCACAGAGGAGGGAGAGCTTGTACCTGAAGGCGGGCCGGGGGGGGGGCTCTGCAACTTACCTGGCTGCTTCTTGCTCCTCGTGGCCCGACTGAGGGGGTGGGGCTTGTTGCATGTGCCCACCCACGGGCTCCTTACTGCCAGAGCTCCGCTCCTGTGCGCTCCCGCAGGAAATGACCCCTGCCTAGAAGTCTCAGCCTGGGTTCTGGCAGGGCTCAGCACAGTGTTGTCGTAACAAAGGAGAGGGGAGACTCTTAACAATTCAGGGCTTTGGGAAGGGCAAAGTAGTAGGGTTGCCAGCCCTGGGTTGGGAAATGCCTGGAAACTTTGGGGGGTGGAGCCGGGAGAAGGCGGGGTTTGGGGAGGGGCCTCGTCGTGGGACGGTGCCAGAGAGCCCGCCCTTCAGCGCAGACATTTCCTCCAGGGGAGCTGATCTACTGTCAGCGGGAGATCCCCAGGCCCCACCTGGAGGCTGGCAACCCTACAGAGTAGCCTGCTGCACGTGTAGAGCTGACCTCTGCCGGGACTCTCTCTTCTCCAGCCTCCCACTCCAGAAACTGACTACCCCGACCTTTCCCCCCATGAACTCGACCGCTACCCTGAGGAAGACTATTCTCCCGCGGGCTCCTGCAGGCACCCGGCCTTCTCCTACGTTCCGGCATCATACCACAGTTGGGGCAGCAGCAGCAGCCAGGAGGCACTGGTGGTTGACTCAGACTTGGTAAGGGAGGTTTTGGAAGGACCACGAGGGGGGTAGCCAAGGGAGAGACTCGAGGGGCAGCCAGGCCCACATAGGGCTGCCAGGTCCCTCCCCCCGTCCACCAGTGGAGGTGGGGGTGGGGGTCACGCAGGGTTGCCAGCTCCAGGTTGGCAAACTCCTGGAGATTTGGGGATGGAGCCTGGGGAGGACACGGACCTCAGTGGGGGACCACGCCAGATGGTCCACCTTCCAAAGCATCCATGTTCTCAAGGGGAGCTGATCTCTGGAGTCTGGAGATGAGCTGGAATTCCCAGGGATCCCCGGGTCCCCCCTGGAGCCAGTGTGGTGTCGTGGTTAAGTGCGCGGACTCTAATCTGGGAGAGCCGGGTTGCATTCCCCACTCCTCCACTTGCAGCTGCTGGATGACCTTGGGCAAGCCCTAGTTCTGATAAGAGCTGTTCTTGAAAAAGAGCCGATTCTGTCAAGAGCTCTCTCAGCCCCACCTACCTCACAGGGTGTCTGTTGTGGGGAGGGGAAGGGAAAGGAGTTTGTCAGCCGCTCTGAGACTCCTTTGGGTAGTGAAGGGCGGGGTAGAAATCCCATCTCTTCTTCTTCTACCTCACAGGGTGTCTGTTGTGGGGAGGGGAGGGGAAAGGAGTTTGTAAGCCGCTCTGAGACTCCTTTGGGTAGTGAAGGGGCGGGGTAGAAATCCCATCTCCTCCTCCTCCTCCTCCACCTCCTCCTCCTTCTTCTTCTTCTTTGCTTTCTATGATGTCATCAAGATGGCTGAGGTTTAATTTCCCTGCCTTTTCTAACTTCTGAATTCTAATCAGGGCAAGCTATCACATCAAAAGAGAATACATCGACACGCCCCCTTTCAGGAAAGCCTGAAGAATTCTTGCCTTCCGAAGGCAGGTGGTGGTTCTTGTAGGGCTGTGCTTCTGTGGAAGCACCTGCCCTTTGGACTACCCTCCCCACAGGCAGTTCTCTGCCCGAGCCACCCAGACCAGCTGGCACAGTTAATAGGGTGCTGATGCACCTTCCCTGGAGGGCATCTTGGCTCACTTCAAAGGATTCAAAGGAGCTGCGGTGGCTCAGGTGGTTAAGACGCTGAACTGCAGGCTGTGGAAGGTCAGTAGTTCAGCAGTTCGAGACCCGGGTGTGCCGCATGACGGAGTGAGCTCCCGTCTCTAGTTCCAGCTCCTGCCAACCTAGCAGTTCGAAAGCAAGAAATTGCAAGTAGATAAATAGGTGCCACTTCGGTGGGAAGGTAACAGCGTTCCGTGCGCCTTCAGATCTTCCTCCCATTGTAGTTTAGAGTACCTGAATTACAGTTGGTGCACTACAGCCAAGTTAAAACAACAACAACAGGCTTTCTAAAATAAACATTGGCTGTATTGAACCAAATGTAATTTAGGACCACTAAACTACAGTGGGATCATTCAAGATTTATGACTGCTTATGTAGAAACAGACCATCCAGTCGCTAATAAACGCACCACTGTGCAAAGTGACCCCACCTTTCTAGCAACACAGCAAAGCCTTTCACTACCAATCACCCTCACAAATGTTAGTTGGATTCCACATGATGGCTCATTCTAGTATCCTTCCAGTAAAGAGGCTAGTCTAATATGTGTTACGATAAAGAGACTAGTCTAATAAAGAGGTCCAGTCTTCCTATAGTTCAACCTAACATTCTGTAACAACAGCTGATGTCCTAACTTTAGATTATGTCCTAAATTGTGATTTAATTCTACTGAGCGTGTAGGGGTATAATATCTGGTTTTATTTTATTCTAAGGTCCTGGAATATTGTTCCTTATTTCACAGTTTAAGCATGTTGGACCAATTCCCAAGTTTGAAAAAATCCCCAGCATAATGATTTTGATGCAAATTCAAATGTACACCACTTGACTATTTGATTTGGCGGCTACACATAGGCTTGCGAGCTCCCAGGGGAGGCCCAGAGTTTTCCCAGAAGTACAACTGATGTTCAGATTTCAGAGATCAGTTCTCCGGGAGAAACGGGCCGCTCCGGAGGGTGGAGTCTATGGCATCACACCCCGCGTGAACTCCTTCCCCAAATGCCCAGAGGTTTCCCGGGCTGGAATTGGCAGCCCTAGCGGCTATAGACAAACACTGCAACCCCCCCGGAATTCTGTGAGACGTTAAACCAAAGAACATAATTTAAAAGATGTGGAAAGGGAGGGAAGGGGACAAAAGACACTTAAAGGTAAAGGTTCCCTTGCTCGAAAGCCAGTCGAATCCGACCCTAGGGTTGCGGTGCTCATCTCCGTTTCAAAGCTGAAGAGCCAGCGCTGTCCGAAGACGTTTCCGTGGTCATGTGGCCGGCATGACTAAACGCCAAGGTGCACGGAACGCTGTTACCTTCCCACTGAAGTGGTACCTATTTATCTACTTGCAATTTCTTGCTTTCGAACTGCTAGGTTGGCAGGAGCTGGAACTAGAGACGGGAGCTCACTCCGTCATGCGGCACACTCGGGTCTCGAACTGCTGAACTACCGACCTTCCACAGCCCGCAGTTCAGCGTCTTAACCACTTGAGCCACCGCAGCTGCCTTGGCAACCCTACTGACCAAGTAATCAAGAACACAGGAGGTGATTATTTTAAGTAAATAATCCCTCCATCTAGCAGTTTCCTGCACTTTCCTTGGTGGGCAGAAATTCAACAGGTGAAAATTTCCTTTCAGTAGTGGTCATGGGACAAAAGCCCTGAGGACAACTATGAATTTTAATTAATGTTTCCACATCCCCTCTTCCTCCCCTTCGCATCCCTTTCCTGCTGTATGTAGGAGCTTTTAAATCGGGCAGGTGTTCGGTGTGAGGCTTCTGTTAGGCATGAAGCCAGGCGCTCAGAGCGCCATGGTGTTTGGGGCTCTGGCCAGAAGGTCCAGGTTTGCAGAAATCCCAAGGAAAGGATACGCAAGACCCAGGTTTGCTTACAAGGAGATTTTAATAAGCAGTGATCAAATTTATCAAAATAACCAGCTAAGTTCCCATCCGCCGGATCTCAAATGCACACATGTACAGTGAAACTTAGCCAGACCTCAAGATGAGTGACATAGCCAGGGGTCGTTTCGTAGAAAAAGAGGCGTCGTCATGTGCCCCGCCCCCCGTACCTCACCCGGGGGAACTGCGTTCCCCTCCCGAAATGACCTCTGGACATAGCTAAAACTAAGCATCTTACCTCTGGTCATAGCTAAAACTAAGCATCTTATACCCTAAATGCTGGCTACGAGTCAAGAAGTCACTGATAAAGCTGTCCTAAATATTGAGATGAACCAGGCTATCTCGCACCTGGCATCTAGTGGGGAGAGGACACAACTCAAGCTTTGAAGATTAGGGGGCTGCTAACAAGCATGAGAGAGAGAGAGAGAGAGAGAGAATTATTCCCTTGAGAGCGGCCTGACAGCCATCCCAAAGATGGAGTTACTGAGGCTGCACACGTGGCCCACTGTGTGATTTGCTGAGTCTTGGATCTGCCTTGTTCAGGTCCCTGTGCCGAGCCATCGCCGCAGCACCAGCAGCGGGTCCAGCCTGGACGGCAGCCTCTTTGGAACCTGGTCAACCAGCCAGTCGGCCTTCTCTCCGCCAAAGGAGGAGGAGCAGGTGAGGAAAGACCTAAAGGGTCCGCTGGGCCGATGGGAGTCTCCAGACGGGGGGAGCCACTAGTCCCTCAGGTGCTTGCATCCTGTTTGGAGCCGCCGAACAGTGGGTGTAGGGGTTGCCAACCTCCAGGTGGGGAACACGGCTAAGTTAGATAAACACGTGTTGAAATAATAAACACAATATGTACTTATAGCTAAATATACTTGCTTTTTATACACAACATCAACTCTAGTGTTTTGTAAACACTTTCAAACTACAACATCAGATTTCAAACACTTTCAAACTAAGTTATATAACATGAAGAGTCCAACTGTCTTCTTCCTGATGGAGGATAAATACCAATGCACAGTTATTTGTGCCGAGCAATGCAGCAACCTGTTGTACATTTCCCAAGTGATGATCCATCAGGTAAAGCTGACTGCAGTTTATTTTGGGGAGATGAAAACTGCAGATCAAGGAGCCGTCACCTCAAAGCGTTACCTGTGAAATCTGCATGGGTAAGGAAGCTAAAGGCTCATTAGCAGTACAAATTCATCTCCTCTGTTTTCTCTTCCTTGTGACATACATAAATAGCACAAAAGAGGCTCAAAGGCCTCTGAAGTTCCCCAAAGAAAAAACTTTGGATCCAGTGGCACCTTTAAGACCAACCAAGTTTACTTCTGGGTATCAGCTTTCCTGTATCTGAAGAAGTGTGCATGCACACGGAAGCTGATACCCAGAATTCAACTTGGTTGGTCCTAAAGGTGCCACTTGGGACTCTAACGTTGTTCTGTTGCTTCAGACCAACACGGCAGCCCACCTGAAGTTCCCCATGTGAGGTTTCCCAGGGTCTCAAAACTGGGAAGGCTCCGTTAGGAATGGGAGGAGGGAGGGGGATACTTTTCTGGAGGGCCCCCCACAGCCAGGACATATTTACACCCCAACCTGTCTTCCTCTTGGTTATCCTCAGTTCAAAACCCTTGAAAAGGCAGGGATGCTTCACCGGACCAAAACGGCGGAGAAAGGGAAGCGCCTGAGGTGAGGAGGCCTCGGCCGACGTCTCTCTCTGTGTTGTGAATTTCCTCGATGTCTCAATGAACAGCTGATAGCTCTCCACGAAGCACGGAAGTTTTCATTCTTAAAGTGTGTGGAGGGTTTTCCCCAAAAGAAATCTTTCTTTTTTAAAATTGAAAACGAGAAACTATGCGAGGATTAATGAGGCCATCTCATTTCAAGGGTCTTCATCCGGATTCAGTGTAGCAGCTTTAATCTTTCATTTAAATAATAATCTTTCAATTTATTGATCTCTCAATCCTTGCAGAGCTGCTGGCTCTGAGCGATTTACAGTTACTTATTTCACAAGGGACTAACAATGCTTTATAGGGGTAAGGGAGGGCAACACATATAATCTTTACATAGCACACGTTTTTTGCAGCCAAAAACGGTGGGATCTCTGTTTTCATATTTCCCAAATATTTCCAGCTTGTGGGGCAGGCAAGAAGAAGTGTGGGGTTTGGATCCTGAGTAGTTGGGCTTTCTATAGAGTTACACACTGAATTCTCTATATGCCCTGATGTAGCCTCAACAGAAAAACCCCTGCAAGTCTGACAAGAACCAAGAACATATGTCACTTTCTGTAGAGTTGCCAGGTCCCCCCCCCCCGGTGGCTGGTGGGGGATGGGGAGAGGTAGGGTTGACAGATCCAGTCTCGGAAACTCCTGGAGATTTGGGGATGGCGCCTGGGGAGGACAGTGACCGGGGGGGGGGGGTGTACGGTGCCATAGAGTCCTCCCTCCAAAGCATCCGTTTCCTCCAGGGTAACTGAAGTCTGGAGATGAGCTGGAATTCTGGGGGGTCCCCAGGTCCCACCTGGAGGCTGGCTTGCCCTTGCTTTCTTGCTTAAAATTCCCTCTTGCAAGGATCTCAGCCGGCTCCCAAAACTGCAGGTGGACCTTTTCTTGCCCACGAAAGGTGGTGCTGATTCCCGGGCTTGCCCTCTTGCTTCCTTAGGAGTGGAACGGGAGCAAGGTCTCTGGGCGACGGTGCCTCTCTTGGGATGCTCTTAGGCAGGGGTGGATGAAGGTCCCCCCCCTCCTTTCCACACTGACCCCCCCAGTCCATTTTAGTGGTTGACCCGTCTGACCAGATATACAATGCAGGTTGCAGCAGTACAAAAATTTATTCATAGGATGACACCATAGACTGTACAAACTAAGCCAAGCTTGAGCTACCTAAAGTTCTTTTCACCCTTTTCCAGTTTGGTGTTGTGGTGAAGTGCGCGGACTCTAATCTGGGAGAACCGGGTTTGATTCCCCACTCCTCCACTTGCACCTGGCTGGATGACCTTGGGCAAGCCCTAGTTCTGATAAGAGCTGTTCTCTCAAGAGCCGTTTCTGTCAAGAGCTCTCTCAGCCCCGCCTACCTCACAGGGCGTCTGTGGTGGGGAGGGGAAGGGAAAGGAGCTTGTAAGCCGCTCTGAGACACCTTTGGGTACTGAAGGGCGGGGTATAAATCCCATCTCCTCCTCCTCTTCCTCTTCTCTTCTTCTTCTTCTAAGCTGATCTCTGTCAGCTGGAGATCAGTGGTCAAAGCGGGAGATCCCCAGGCCCCACCGGGAGGCTGGCAACCCTAGTCAGAAGGCAGGAAGGGGCGCTAGGTGTGGGAGGGGGAATGGAGGGGTGGGAGGGCTTGGGCACGGAATGGGGGAGGAGGGGCTCTGTCAGTGGGAGCCCCCCACCAGAGCCCCGGTGTGCCTGCTGGCGCCCACCCGGACCGCGTTGGCTCAGCGGCCTGCCTTTCATTCTCTTGCCCGGCTTCTCTCTGGTCTCTTATGGCAGGACCACCAGCTGTGGAGGGCTGGGAAGAGGAGCCTTTCCAGGAGCCAAGTTGGGGCTCGTTCTCCAAGCCCCCCTTCCTCCCCCTGTGCCAAAGCCCTTTCTGCTCCAGGCCAGCGCCTCCCCGTGCACCTCCTCCTCCTCCTCCTCCTCCCCACTTCTCAGCCCTGCTGTCACCTGTTGCCCTGCCCGCTTCCTTGGCACCGGCCTCGGTTTGGGCTTCCCGACTCTGTCTCCGCCTCTCCCTTCGCGCCTCACCTGGGCTCTCTCCCTTGGGAAGATCTGCTCCGGCCGGCCTCTGCTTCGCCTCCGGGTCCAGCAGGCAGGCAGGTCCTCTCGAGCTTTCCGTGGCCGGATGTCTGGAGGGACGGGTGCCCCTGGGAGGGCTCCTGAATGCTGCAGTGGGGCAGGGTGAGGCAGGAATGGGGCGGAAGTCTGGCAGGGGACCAAGGGCAGCCTCAGGGTCTTCTTCCTTGAGCCAGGACCCCTCTCCTTGCCTGAACAAGCCCCCGTCCCGTCCTCCATGCTCCGTGAACGAGGTGCCCTGTAATATACCCAGTTCAGACCGCGTGGCCAGCTTGGGCTCCACACGGTCAAGCGAAAACGTTGAGCTTCGTTCAAAGAGACAATGGACTATGCGGATCCTAGCCTGCACCAATCAGTGGGCTAGGTTCCCGGCCGAGAGCCTATGGGACTCTCGGCCACTGTAAATAACCTATTGGGAAATGGGGGGGTGTTATGGGTGGCGGTTTCACGGGGAATATAAGTGGGCCTGCGAGCTGGCTAAAGTTGTCTTGTTCCTGATCTAATAAAGTACGCCAAGCTGAAATCACTCTCCGTCCGCGTACTTTTCATGCCCTTTCTGCCTTCTCATCTTAGGAAGAACTGGAGTTCCTCGTGGACCGTTCTGGAGGGGGCCGTCTTGACATTTTTCAAGGACTCGAAGCATTCCGCTTCTGGCGGCGTGGTGAGTCTTTGGCTCATTTTAAGGGCAGACAGAAGCCCCATTCACAAGACACAGTGAAAGCAAATACAACCTATCTGTGCATGCGTACATCTGTAAGAAAGAGACCATGAGCGCTCACTTCACAAATGAAACCAAGCATCAGTACCTGGATAAATGTGGGGTTCCAATTACTTGTTCAGCTGTGCATGCATTAACTGGGAAATGAGATATTACTCAATGCGCATATAAAGGAAAAAAGTGTATACACTGTAATAATAATAATAATAATAATAATCTTTCAATTTATTGTTCGCTCAATCCTGCAGAGCTTGCTGGCTCTGAGCGATTTACAGTTACTCATTTTCACGAGGGACTAACAATGCTTTGTGGGGTAAGGGAGGACAACATATATACATCTTAAATCACACACATTCACAGCCGACGAGGGTTTTCGTCCAGATGGAGATGAGACGTGATCCGGAACGGCATTTTCCTGGCCTGGTTTGATGGCGTCAGCTTTCTCCAGACTCCTTCGAGTTGTAGCTATGTGTTCACTGTGACTTGTGAACAGGGTTAATGTTTGGAGGGGGCAGTGTGGTGGAGGAGGAGAGTCCAGATAGCCATGGCATCGAAAGGCCCTTCCAGATCTTCACGGCATAGGTTTTTGTAAGAGGCATCCTTTTTGAGCTCCGTTGTCTTTAGAAGTTTAAAAAATTGTTGATTCTGTATAAAAAGTGTGGTGCAATTAGGAACCTGTGGACAACTCTGCATATTGACTTTTTTGGCAGGGACAGTGGGTGCCCCCGAGGGAGACACACCAGAGCTCTCGATGAGAGTAGCACAGATGGGGAATGAACACAGTTCCTCTATGGGGTGTAACCAAATGGATTGCGAAGGAAATGGGGGCGGGAGCAGGGCTATTTCTGGGCAGGAACGCACAGGAACGGAGTTCCGGCTGGCTCCTGAGTTGGCCACGCCCAGCAGGAACTCATTAGCATAATAGGCCACACCCAACAGCAGAAACTCATTAGGATTGGCTACATTAGGGGTGTGTGGCCTAACATGCAAAGGAGTCCCTGCTCCAAAAAAAGGCCCTGGGTTTTGACCACAAACAAGGTAACCAGAATAAGAAGCAAAAGGTGGGTGTGGCTGGATGACCACACTTCTGGTAACACGGGGGTGTGGCCTAATATGCTAATGAGCTGTGCTGCCTTGGGTGTGGCCTAATATGCCAATGAGTTCCTGCTGTTGGGTATGGCCTATTATGGGCTTTTTGCTGGGCTTTTTCTACAAAAAGAGCCCTGGGCGGGAGCATTCTTGTTGCTGTCATTTGTGACTTGGATATCATGGCTCTCTTTTCCCCTTCCCCTCTAGAAGCATCCCTCTGTGCTGAGCAGTCCGGAACACACCGTGGATCTTCGTGGAGCAACACTCTCTTGGGCCCCCAAGGACAAATCGAGCAAAAAGCACGTCCTGGAGGTAAGGGAGTGAGTGGCCCTCCGCCTGGGTGGCGAGCTACTGGTCTCGCAGCACCGGTGATGCCAAACTGTGGGCAGGAGGAAGTGGCGGGGAAAGACGTGTGTCTGGAGAAGGAGGTGTGAGGGGGGGTTCTCTTTCTGCAGACCCTTGTTCAAAAAGCCTCTCCTCATTCTCTGGCCTTAAAGAAAGCCAGCCTGCTTTCAAAGACAAAGATGCAAAAGGCTGCAGGGAGCTAAAGGTCTCTGTGGTGTCTGTAGGCCTGCTACGAAATGGCATCCCTTCACCCTGTGACAAACAGCCTGCTTCTGGAGGCCGACTGGGATTCTCTCACTTCTGGCACGTGGATGAGGTGGAAGTAAACGGCCATGTCTTACCAGTACTGTTATGGGGGGGGGGGGTTGCAGTCCTAGGCTTGAAGCAGAAGACAGGAGGTGTCAAGTTCGGCCACATTCATACCAGTGCCAGCCCGTACCAGCTTGCTTTCACCCTGAATACGGATGGCACTTTGTGTGCTTTTTAATTTTAATTTAATTTTATTTATTTATTTATTTTTAAAATTTATATCCCGCCCTCCCCGAAGGCTCAGGGCGGCTTACAAGGGGCATGAATGCCTAAGTTAAAACAATAAAACAATACAAAACAGCATAAAAATACAATAAATACAATTCACTA